GTCTTTCCTTTTGCTGCTTAAAAGCATTTTGCAGGACAGAGGTGGAGAGGGGAGGCTTTGTGTGAGCTTGGCGAGCTCCTAGGAGACAGGGTGGCATGCAGGACACCTCGCTGCGTGTGCTTGCTGCAGGCTTGGCAGTGCTGGGGAGGAGCACCACCAGCCGTGCTCTGGGTGGGGGGTGTGGGGAAGCAGGGAGGGCCGTGGCAAGGCTGTGCTGGTGCACGCTCGGTGTGCATTGACAGAGGTTCAGCGTACCCGAGTACGCAGTCGCCCTCCTTGGTGCTGCGTGTCCTGTGGGCTGAGATGTGCTGTGCTGCTCTTGGATAGCTGGGGTTGCTCTTCTCTGAAACATTCAATCCCAGGCTGTGGGTTTTTTTTCATGGACAAATAAATTTGCTGTGATAAAGGTTTAATTTTGATGGGTGGCAGGTGGAGGTCACTGGGAATGTCAGCAGATGGATTCAGCTGAATAAACGAGGGGAAGAGTTTTTGATAAGCCTGAAGGGAGGAACATTTTGAAGTGCCTTAGAAATTACCTTGTACCCCTGAGCAGTGCCCATCCCACCTGTGTGCTGGTTCCTGATTGTCCAGGACAGTGGGCACGCCGTTTACCTGTGTCTGTGGTGCACAGGCATCAGCTTCTGGGGGATATGGTGAGGGTGTTGGGGACAGTGGCAGGGTCCTTCCACCCTCCTGTCCAGGAGGTGACAGCAGCACTGAGTGTAATCCCAGGCAATCAAGGCCTCTGGTCTAGGGACCTCCATCTGTAATCTTGCTGTTAGTCACAGCTGTAAGAGAGGGGTTTTCAGCCTTTGTGAGGTTTCTCTGCAGACCCCAGGGCTGGGATGGGGAGGGGCCCCCAGACTCTCTCTGTGAGGAGGGAGGGAGAGCTCTTGTAATATTCTGTAATATAAATACATGTGACTCTGTACCTCTCCTGGGTTTGTTGCCAGTGCTGCGTGTGAAGGCAGGGGAGGAAGGACAGGGCATGAAGGTGAGGATGGGATGAAGGGGTTCATCCCCTCTGGGACTGTCTTGCATGGCAGCAGATGGGCTGGGATGCGTCAAAGGATGTGACACTTCAGTTTCAGCTCATTCCATTTGGGTGAGCTCTGATGTTGGTGAGCTCTGCTGGAGCCGAAGGCTTTGCTGCTGGGAAAAGCCAGACCTACTTTGCTGGCTGTACCCATGTTTATGGGGAGACCACAGAGCAGCCCATGGGGACGTGTTTCTAAATGCCAGAGTGCAAATATCTCCTTGGGCAGCTGGGACAGGGAGCTGCAGGATGTCGTGGCATAGACTGTGGTTGTCTCTTTGGAGAGCCAGTGTGTGGTGCAGGGATGTACTTCTGGCTGCTGGCAAAGGACCCATTTCCTCTCTGGGACTCTGTGTTCCCCCCATTGTATTTCTGGGTTTTGTCAACTGCATTAATCCCTACCTCCCACAAAGCAGCTCTGCCAGATGTGGGAAGCCGCGTACTTGTTATTGGCAGAGATGCTTTTATCACACAGCCCCAAGAGCTGGAGCAGCCTTTTCCCTCTTGTATCCACCAGACTCACTGGGAGCTTGCCGCTTCAAGTGCCTGAAGGAGAGACAGGGGCCAGCAGCACCAGCCTCCCCAGCTGCCCATGGGTTACTGGGTCCTGAGGGACTCAGGAGCTCGGGGCTGCAGGGTAGCACTGGGAGCTATGGAGCTACCAGGCAGCCAGAAGAGTTTAGTTGGTGACGCAGGCTTGCAGGATGTGGACCAGTGTCACCAGGCTGCATTTGCTGCTCCCCTCCTACACCTCTGACACTGTCAGCCTCACTGGGAAATGCCATCTGGGATCCATCTTTCCCTGTACTCAAATCCAGCAGTATTGTGAGAGAAGACAGATATGCTAAAGCTGCTGAGGAACCAGAGGTTGTGGGAGCTACTGGTGCTCTGGCTCTGCCTGTCCACAGGAGTTTCTACTTGTGGAAATGTCCTGCACTGCTTGTGCATCCCCTGCATTTTACTCAGGGCAGCAAAGGCCACTACGGTGCTAAACAAACAAGCAGCAATCAGAATGAATCACATCGTTGTCAGGAGTGGCCTCTACCCCACCCCAAGCTCTGGGTCCTGTGTGTGGAGAGAGGTGGAGGTGATGGGGGCAGAGCTGGAGCCTGCTGGGCTCCCGGGCGTTGCTGCTGCATGCTTGAGCCATGCCTGCAGCTCTCACGTGTGGTTGTGCCTGGTGCCTCTTCCCCTGGGCTGTGCAGTCCCCAGGGTGCAGGAGGCTCCAGCAATGCAGTGCCTGTGGGGATGGATCCAGGTGCTTCCCTGGGCAGGAGGGCGGCTCGCTCAGCCCTAGTGGACTCAGCTCTGGGCCCTTTTTGCTCCAGTGATCGCTAAGCAGCATCCTACAGCTCTCATCCCGGCTTGTGCCTCGCTGCGGCGCTGTGTGGAGAAAAGGGATAAGGAGGCACCTGGCCCCTTTCCACCACGGGACAGGAGCTTTGCCTGGGAGCCGCCAGCAGAAACTCCTGCCTGGCCTTCACAGGCTCTGAATGTCTTAGGAGGCAAGTAAAGCAGTGAGTGGCAATAGCTGATTCCTTGGCCAGGCGCCTTCTCAAGGCCCCTGTGGGTTGCCAAGGTTAGAGCAGAGCGCTGCGGGGGACAGGCAGCCCAGACAGAGCTGTGCGCTCTGGCTGGAGGCTTTGGAGACTGCTGGGCCATTATTTGCCTCTCCCCCAATGCCCAAAGGGGCTGTGATCTATGGCAGCGGTACAACAGGAGTCTGTTGGCAGTGATGGATCGGGCTGTCCAGAGAGCACCCTTCTTCCTTCCCTCCCTTGCTCGCTCCTTGTCCCTTATACAGGCTCTTCAGGAAGGACAGGCAGGGGAGATGTGGAGGGGGTGTCGCTCTCTGTGTCAGAGACCAACTGGAGCATGTGGAACTCCAATGGGGATGGATGAGGAGCTGACCGAGAGCTTATGGGTCAGGATTAAAGGGAGGGCAGGGCGCGGGGATATGATAGTGGGAGTTTGCTACAGGCCACCTGGCCAGGATGAGCGAGTGGATGAGGCCCTCTACAGACAGATAACAACAGCCTCATGTTCACAAACCCTGGTCCTCATGGGGGACTTCAACCACCCTGATATCTGTTGGAGGGACAGCACGGCAGGGCACAAGCAAGCCAGGCGATTCCTGGAATGCACTGAGGACAACTTCCTTCTCCGAGGGATAGAGGAGCCGACGAGGAGGGGTGCCATGCTGGACCTTGTTCTCACCAACAGGGAGGGGCTCAGTGCAGGAGATCTGGCAGTGTGGTATTCTGGGTGTTATCCCTGTCTTGCCTTGTCCTGGGCTATCCCAGAGCTATCTGCTTCCCACCCACGAATCCGTGCAGCTCTGCTCCCCACGGTGCAGGACCTCACAGGGACTGATTTCCAGCAGAGTGAAGAGTGGTCATCTTCTCTTTTCTCTGGCAGGGATGGGGCAGAATCCCCAGTTGCTGGAGCTGGAGTGTCTGCCTGCCCTGATGAAGGGGCAGTGCAAGGCTGTAGGATCCTCCCTACGGAAGCGGAGGGGACCACCGGGGAGCAGGAGGAAGATCAGCCATGCGCGAGTGAAGGGGAAAGGTAAGTGAGGAGGAGTGAGGGGCTGTGGGCCATCCAGGGGCTGAGCCCAGGCCAGGAGTGTGTGGAGGGTCATCCGTGGGAAGGTGTGGTGGCGGTATGTGTCCAGCCCCCTGGATTCTACAGGAGTTCTTGTCCTTTTTCATCCCAGAGAGGTCCCATATTTAGCGGGACCTGGGCTGGGAAGTGGAGGTGCCTGCGCAGCGCTGACAGAAGCCACTGGCAGCACGTCTGCTCAGCGCCTGTGCTGGGCTGCAGCCTTGTCTCTTCTGACCTTCACCTGTCAGGGCTGAGCTCTCCCGTTGCCCACCTCTGCTGGGGCAGCAGAACCTGTGAACTGTGACCTGTGAACTGGTCACTCTCACCCATATAACCCCTATGGGTCTGATCCAGGCTCACCACAAGCCCCTCCCCGCTGTCGTGGACCCCATAGCCTCACAGCAGTGCCACGGGGAACCGAACTCATTGAGTGTGGCATTTCCTGCAGCGTGGGGGGTGTGGGAGCAGGTCCACTCCGCTGGAGATCAGTCCTCCTGCGGTCCTGCACCGTGGGGAGCAGAGCTGCACGGATCTGTGGGTGAGAAGCAGAGAGCTGTGGGGTAACCCAGCCTTTGGGGCGGGGGTTTTCTCTCAGAAGCCATCTCCATCGTTCCTCAACACTCTGGAGAGTGCTCCGCTCTGGGTGCCTGCCGCTAAGCTGTGCCACAGCGTCCAGAGCTGGTGGGTGTAACGCCAGCTCCCAGGGGATGGGAAGGGCTGCTCTGGGGTCTTGCAGAGTGACCCCATGAACCTGGGGGGCTGCGTGCCTCTCTCCTTCTCACAGGAGAGCCAAGTAACCCATGCCTTGCCATCCCTCCCTTTCTGGGCTCGCCCCCACAGACCAATTCTCCTGCACGCTTACCTTGCCTGCAGTAATTTCCCCAAAGAGCTGAGTGCTGCTGTCCCGTGTTGTGCCGGCGGGACTGTTTCCCGAGCAGATGAGGGGGTGCTAGCAAGCCTGATGGCACTAGCAGTCACAGGAATTACAGCCCGGCACGCTGCGGAGGAGAAGAAACGTTGCAAGGCTTTCCCCTTTCCCCAGGAGCTCTTTCCTGGTGCATCAGCAGGGTGGCCGTGGGATGGTGCTGGTGTGGGTCTGGGCTCCACAGCTGGGGGCAGAGTGCTGCCCATGTCCTTGCATGTGGCTGCGGCGTGGGGCTCGGTCCTGTTTGCTCAGACAGGTGCGGTTCCTGTTCAAATCCGCGGGGCCAATGGGAGCCATGCCGTTCAAACGTGCGGCCGTTGGACGCGTGTCCCATGGAAACCCGGCTGCGTGTCACTGCCTGCTTAAACGCCTGCTTGGCTTTCCCAGGCTAGGCAGGGAGGGCTCCGATTACTGGCTAATTAGAGGTGTCCTGCCATGGAGCCCAGCAATGTCCACAGAGTCTCGCTCTGCACCCGCCATGCTGACCCCCTGGGAGCTTCTTTCTACCTCACCACGTTCGGTAAGCGTGGAGCCGGTGGCTCTGGGGAGCAGGGGGTGCACGCAGTGCCCGTGGGATGTGGCTGTGGCAGCACGGCTCAGGGAGCCCTGTGCAGTAGGAATGGGCTGGGGAGCTGCTCCCTGAAGGCATTAACGCTTGCTTCTGGCTCGCTGAGCCAGAATAATACATGGTTCCATTGAGCTGGTGAACGGGGGAGCACCCTGAAATTAAGCTGCAGCCACTGAGGCGTGCTGCTGCAGTCAGCCCGATGCCGAATACCCAGGTCATGTTGCCCCCAGGATGGACACGAGCTGGGGTTGCTGTGTAGGGACCCCATTAGGGCAGAGCCCCAGTTTCCGTCGTTGCTCCTTGTGGGTCTTTTTGTGGCTGCCTCAGTTTTGCTGCCTGGGCTTGAAGAAGCCCACGGGCAGTGGTGGCTTGGCTCTGCGGGCTGGAGTCAGCCCAGCGATGCGGGGCTACGAGCCCTGTATAGCCACTTGCCCTGCGGGCAGGTGAATTGGGCAACAAATATCGTGGCTGGTGCTTGTGGTGCGTGATGGCTTGTGAGCAGCTGTCTTAGCACCCAGCTTCCCTCTGCATGCTTTTTAAGCAGCAGTGAAGAGGCTGCAGGGGAGCAGAGGAATTATGTGTGTGGAGCAGGGCATCCCTTCCCTGGGCAGCCAGGGATGCTGTTCCTTCCCCCTTTTGGCTTGCAAGCATCAAACTGCTGAGGACAGCCTGGAAACCGAAATCGTCTTGTCTTTGTAGGACTTAGTGTGCCAAACGATGTGACTTTTGTGGCGCTTGTGGCTCTGTGATCAAGTCTGGGCCAAGCAGCATCTCTGCAGGTGCAGGTCCCTTTGCAGCTGGTCGTCACTGGTGAGATGTGGCGATGCCTGCTCTGAGCAGGAGACCCGTGGCAGGACGGGGCCAGCACTACCCTCTCCGTGTGGGGGACTGAGGAGAGGGTCCTCAAAAGGGTTGGTGCCAGCCTGTAGATGGTGATCTTGGGGTGCTCTGCCTTGTGCCCATGGGGACTTCCCACCCAGGTAGTTATCTGACCCTGCCTTCGTCTGGTAAGATTTCCCCCGGTGTGTTCACTGATGGTTCTTGGCTGTCCCAGCTAGGGCAAAACCTGCATTTTTCCTACAGTAAAACAAAAACGCATTTAAGCAGCAGAAACCCCAATTTTCCATTTGTCAGAAATCATCAGTAAGGAACAGATTTTCCTGCCTTCTAGGTCTGCTCCCAAAAGAAAACATTCACGTGTTCCCCTCCCTCAGCCTGTCAAACCTCTCTCATGGGTGGGAACCTATTTGATTACCATCTTGTGCTTGTTCATACCCGGTTTTGCCCTGTTCTCTCTGTGCCAGCTTTGTTTATCAGCTGGAACCGTCTCTCCTGGCCCTGTGGGGTCCAGATGGACAGGGCCTGGGCACCCTCTCTGCTGCAGCCCTGTGAGCCTGACTGAGCCCTCTGTGATGATGTGAGCACCCAGGAACTGTACATGGGTCCTGTTGTGAGATGACCTGTCTGCTTTTTTGTCTCCTTCTGGCCTTTCTCTGCACCTATTTCCATTTATATTAACCTTTATTGAACACAGGTGACCTGGACAAGCTGTGTCAGGGTTTCTCTGCTGAAAGTGTTCGTGCTGGGGTGTATCCAAAGATGTAAACCCAGGGGATGACGTTTCTCTGACCCTCTGCTCTTGGAGCGAGGTGGAAATACAGCCCAAGAACTTGCCTCGATGGGAATTGTGTTTCTGCCCACCCAGGTCTGGAGGAAGGTTATTGCTCTGTGCATCTGGGAAAAGGCAGCTGTTGTCCCTGAGCCAGTCTGTCCAAGTGCAGACGTTGGTACAGCAAATCCCCTCCACCAGCTCAGGCTGAATCGTATCTTTCTGACAGCAGCTTCTCTCTGATCCTGGCCCCATACAGGCACTGGAATTGCTACAAAGCCAGTGAGTGCTTCCCTGGCATGAGCAGGCTGGGACCCCTTTGGGGTCAGATCCTGGCTGGGGCATACTGGGGTGTGCAATTTGTCCCTTGATTTGCTTTGGAGACACTTGGGAGCAAATGCATGGAGAGAAATGCCGTCCCTTCCTCAGGGGAAGGAGAGGACCTTTCCCACCAATACACCCAAATCCTTTCTACTGGGGGCCAATTTGTGGTACTTCTGAAAAAGCCAAACTGCCCGTTTCCTCCCTGCTCTGCTGTCTCTGGGGCTGGTGTAGCCTGTGACACAGCGACCACCGTCCCTGCACCAGAAGTGGTGTACGAGTCCCTGCATAGTGGTGCACGAGGCCACGGTCCTGGCTGACGCGACCCCGCCGTGCAGCAGCCTTGGCCCCGTGTGCTGCCCTGGGAGCTGCGCGGCCCCAGCCCTCCCCGGCCCAGGGCTGGGCGTAGAACTGCCTCCCCCCAAATTACCCAGCACAAAAGCTTCCTTTCTCCTCCCTGGGCCCATTCATTCCTGGGCTGACTCCTCATCACGCTTGGTTAGACGGAGGCATTTGGCTTTGGTGTTGTAACGGTTGTTACGTGCGGAACAGTGAGAGGGTTCCCACAGCATCGGAGATCTGGAGATAGCAGAAGGGTTGAAGTCTTGGTCCAAAAGGCTGGGGTGGCATGAAGAAACTGGGGAACAATATTCTCACTGTTGTAAATCAGCATTAGCTTCAGTAGAGCGTTTACCCCACCTGATTTACCCCACTTGGCTCTCGTCTTTACTTTCTCCCCTTGCTCTCCCTTGCGCATGAAGACATTCATATCCACATGTGCACACACGTGTGCTCTGACACGCAGATGCACGCATGAGCACACGTGAGCTGGAGAGAGAATTGAAAATTTTCTGTCAATGTTTATTTTGAGTGAAAAATGAGATACGAGTTGGCTGGATTGTTTCAGGTTAAACAGTGCCATAAGGTAGCTCCACCTCTGCAAACCCCAGCCCTTGGGTGCGTCTCTTGCCCAATGAAATGTTGGTTTTTAATTGGAAAGATGTTTAGATGTCTGAAAATGATGTTTACAGGTTTTTGTTTGTTGTGTTTTGTAAGCTGGGAAGCAAGTGAAAATGGGATATTTTGCTTTGGACTAATTGAAACATTGTGCTAACGAAGCTTTCAATCTTTTCATTCTCTAAGAGCATTTGGAAATGTTTAGTTTTGGGATGGGTCCAGAACAATTGCACAGATTACAGACCCTGTATCGCCCCTAAAATCTGCACATGGTCTCCAGGCTGGCAGCTCCCTGGGAACCCCCTTGGGCAGGCGTTCTGAGGGGCAGAGCCCTTTGTGCCTGAGCTGGGGCTGGCAGCTTGCTCTGCACCCCAGCAGCATTTCCCCCAGACCCTGGCACATGCTGTTGTTGGCTGGGTCTTCGTGCCAGTCTCAGGACTGTGGATAGATTTTTAGGGTGATGTGTAGTCGCTAGTGCATGGGAAAGTGAGAGTGTAACTGTAAGTCAGCTGGCGGAGTGGAGCTGCTGCCCTGGGACCCGTGCCCTTGCTTGGCAGGGGTTTACACGTGTGGCTCTCCCAGGCGCTGACCTCCTGCGTGGAGTCTGTGACCAGCTGGGTTTTCAATGCTGGGAATCTGTTGCTGGCAGGCAGGTCCAGGCAGTGCTGGAAGCTGGATTTGGTTCTTGGCTCCAGTTCAGAGCGGGCCGTGAGCAGTGTATTCTGCAGCTGTGGATGCTGTGTGGGCTGTCGTGGGCAGTTGTGGCTGATGAGCAGTGTGTCTTCTACAGCCATGGACCTGTGTGGGCTGTGAGAAGTGTATTCGGATACTGTGGATGCTGTGTTTGCAGGTGGTGACTTTGATCAGCACCAGCCAAAGATGTGTTTGGGATGCTCCTTTGGTTGTTCTTTCTTGAGGAATAATGCTCCCATCTTGTCTGTCCACCTATGCAGAGGGGTTTCTGGATTCTGAGCAGTGTGGCTTCTACAGCCATGGACCTGTGTGGGCTGTGAGAAGTGTATTCGGATACTGTGGATGCTGTGTTTGCAGGTGGTGACTTTGATCAGCACCAGCCAAAGATGTGTTTGGGATGCTCCTTTGGTTGTTCTTTCTTGAGGAATAATGCTCCCATCTTGTCTGTCCACCTATGCAGAGGGGTTTCTGGATTCAAATGCCTATCTGAACTCCCCCAGCTTTTGTACTTGGGTTTCAGCTGACCCTGTCCCAAGCAGACAAGCTCATGAGCACAGAGGTTAGGTCTGCTCATGTAGCCAACACTGCCCGGGAGGACGCTCAGGCTGAGCTGGGTTACTCTGGTCGGCTGCCTGTGGAACCCTGGTCTGACACTCCCCTGGCTCCATGCCTCCCACCTCCTCACTCTGATCAGGTTCACCCTTCCTCTCCCACCTTAGGTAGCTTAAAAGGCACTGACGGGTAGGAATCTTGCCCACTGGGTTGTTGTCTTCATAGAATCACAGACTGGTTAGGGTTGGAAGGGACCTTAAAGATCATCCAGTTCCAACCCCCCTGCCATGGGCAGGGACACCTTCCACTAGACCAGGTTGCTCCAAGCCTCATCCCGCCTGGCCTTGGACACTCCCAGGGATGGGGCATCCACAGCTTCTCTGGGCAACCTGTCCCAGGGCCTCCTCACCCTCTCCATGAAGAACTTCTTCCTGATATCTAATCTAACCCTCCCCACTTTTAATTTAACCCCGTTACCCCTTGTCCTGTCACTACAGACGCTTGTAAAAAGTCCCCCCCAGCTTCCTTGTAGCCCCTTCAGGCACTGGAAAGCTGCAATGAGGTCTCCCCAGAGCCTCCTCTTCTCCAGGCTGAACAAGCCCAATTCTTGCAGCCTTTCAAGATAGCAGAGGTGCTCCAGCCCTCTGAGCATCTCCGTGGCCTCCTCTGGACTCGCTCCAACTGGTCAATGTCCTTCTGATGTTGAGGTCTTGTCCATGGGTGCTGCAGGGGTCGCTCAGTGAGCTCTTACTGCTGTGTCAGTGCATGTGGGTGAAGGCTCCTCAGCAAGGGCTGCCTGTGGAGTGCGTTAAGTCCTCCTTTAACAAATCAGATCAATCTCTTGCTCTCAGGTGCTCCAGGCACTTTGGACTCTTTCTCTTCTATTTTATTCTCCCCCTTGTTGAGGGGCACAGATGGATGCCTCCGTGCTCTTAAGATCTGCTCTGTTTGCCTGTTAATGGCTTTGGTCCTTTGTGCTCCTCGCCCTGCTCACGGTAACGATGCAGGGACCCTGCAAGGCTGGCAGTGGGGAGCTGGGCACCTGGGCAGGCAGGTCCTGCTTCTAGGTTGGTGGCCGGCTGTGGGTAAGCTGGTGCATCATGAGCCCGGGGATCTCCACCCAGACCTTCTCCACAGCCGCATTTCTTTCGCGTAGCTCCTTGGGGCTCCCCCATACTGCCACCCCCTCAGAAGCTCCCGGTGCTGTTGTGCAGGGAGGCAGGCACTTCCCCGGAGGTGCAGCATCACCGGGAGCCAGGGGTCCCACCCGGTCCGAGCCCTCCCCAGCCCTGCAGCAGCGGGATTGCAGGGTGGTGGATCACTGCTCTTCCTTGGGGGCTGGCTGCTCTGGCTTTCTTGGCCACCTGACTGTCACCCGGTGTCAAAACACATGACTGAAACCATTCCTGTTTAATCCTAAATTAAAGCAAGTATTGACTCCTGAGTTTAGGAGATGACCTGTCTGCTCACCAGTCTGTACTGTCTGGGATCCCTAGGAAACACAGGAGGCTGCAGTGTGGGTGCTCTTGTGCTTCAATTCCCGGGGGCTGGGTTTGTGCTGTGAGCCGTGCTGCATTAACCTGTGTTGCTGCATATCTCTACTCGATGTTGCCGGTGATAACAAACTGTTGCTGGATGTGACATTCGGTGAAGGGGTTTCTAAGGCCTTCCCATTTCCCCAAACCCACTCTGGATGGATGAGGCATGCAGCAGGGCAAGCAGGGGGGAGGTGGGTGGAGCGAGGTCCCATGGCAGTGAATGGACAAAGGCGGGTTGGTGCCATGGCCCAGGCTCTCCCCCAGGGCCAGCCTTGGCTGACTCTGTGCTGGCAGGTTCCTGCCACCAAAGGCACTGGTTGTCCCTGGCCTTCGTCCAGGTCATCTGCAGCTTGGCCCACTGTCACCTTCTGCAGGGGTGACAGCCCCTTGCCCATACAGAAGCTCAGGGGAGAGGCGAAGGGGAAGTTGAATCTGGGCTGGGGGGAGGATTTGAGCACACTGCATCCCTCTGTTAACTGAGGGCTAATTCATCCCATGGTGTTTCATCTTGGTGCTCCCACTTCTGCCATGGGCTCGTGCCTTCTCCTGCTGGAGTTTACTGTGTGCTAATAAATCAGCATTCAGGTTTTCCTGGAATGGTTTTGCACCTGGCGCTGTAAGACTTTTTTGGTAGCAGATGATGTTTCCTCTCCCCTCTTTCCCCTTGGCTCGTTGAGCCATGCCCCATCCCAGGGGTGGGGAAGCAGGGTGGGTTTGGCCCAGGCTCAGGGCTGTGGGGTCCTGGCACTGCTGAGTGCTGGGGGCAGTGTGGGTGCCCTGCCTCCTTCACTTTCTCTCCTCTCTCTCCCCTAGGCCAGCTGAAGCTGTCCATTGAGGTGCAGGGCCGGCTCTTGGTGCTGCACGGTGAGTATCTCCCTGGGGCGCCTGGCGAGGTGGCCCCAGAGCCGTGGGGGGCTGGTGGGGGAGCAGCACTTCCGTGCCCTTTTGTCAAGCTCTTTGGAACTTCACAGAAGCTGTTGGGAATAACTCTGTGATAGAGTGGTACGACTGAGGGCTCTTTGATTTAGAGGCCAAACAGAAATTTCTTGAGACCTTCATTTCTAGGCAACCACAGCGTGTTTTGCATCCACTTGTATACATTTTTTTTATTTAGCTCCTTGTGTAGACAAGAAAAGACAAAATTTGCAAAAGAAAATCTGAAATGCTTTATCTCCTCTGAAACATCTTTTACATTGGCTAAAACCCTTTGCCAGGTTTGCCACGATTTCCAAATGGTTCAGCTACCTTCAGGCGTCACATTTTTGTAACACCAGAAGTACAACGGAAGTACTTCACCTGGCCCAGGCTGGGGTTGTCCCTCACACCAGGGCATGTCCCACTGGGGACAAGAGGTGCTCTTTCTCTGGGGACTCAGACCTGGCCACCACTGCTGGGTGAGGCTGCAGGAAAGTGATGCAGCACCTGGGAATGTGGGTCCCTTGCAGCCATGAGGCAGGTCCCAAGGAAATAGCGCTGCAGCTTTATTGGCCTGTATGAGAAAGGCCAGTGTGACAGAACTAGACCTTTTCTTTAGGCTAAACCTGTCTGGAGACACTGGGGGGGGGGCCCTTAAGATTGCTCCTGCAGTGAAGGGGATGTTTGGGTCTCCTGGCACTGAGCTCTTCCTGCCACGGTCTCATTAGGGCTCTGTGATAGGTAAATGGTTAAAAAATCAAGGAAAAACCAGGAGTTTGAAATGTCAGAGTAAAACTTCCCTCCTTGTGAACAGAGCTGTCTCGTTGCTGCCCTGGATTTGGGCTCTGGAGGGTGAAAGGAAAGCAAGGCCCTGGGAGTCCCAGTGTTACTGGGGCTGGGTGAAAGTGCCCCCATCCCAGAGACGCGTGGCAGGGCAGGAGGTATAGAAAAGACTTTATCCTGAACAACATCCCACCTTCCAGCCCAGCCTCCCTCCCTGGTTGTATTGAAAAGGGGGCAGGGGGTGGCCGAGCCTGGTGAGCTGTGGGACCAGCCGTGCAGCCCCTCTTCTCCCCTCAGCAGCCATGAGAGCTGCTGCCCTTTTCCCGCTGTGCAAACTTTGTAAAAAAGACAACAGCAGGAAAACGTGGGGGTTGCTTTTGGCTCCCTCCAAGCTGTGTGTGTTTCTGAGGGTCTGGCACAGGCCTTACCCCAAATCCCTCCATTTGGAGCAGCCCCAGCATTAGCTGACTGCAAGTCACTGTCTTGTTCTGCTGCCACCCCCAAAAGTGGGGCTGGGAAGAGGGAAACGGTCCAGCAAAGAGGCAAGGGTCACTCAAGTCTGGGCCCTGACCCCCTGCGACGTGTGCTGGATGTTCTGGGTAGTCACTGTGAGCAGGAGAAGGCTGGCTGAAGTCGGGTGATCCGTCTCACTTTTTCATTTTCCACCCCAACACCTTTTGACCCAAAGCAGGTCTGGCTGGAGCCTGTCGTGGGGGAACCTTGCCAACTGCTTCATGTTGTACCTGAGGGTCTGGCAGAGCCCCTTTCCCCTTGTGCACTGAGGTTTCTGTCACACTGAGGATGTTTTTTAGGAGCACCTATCTGTCTCTGACAAAGGCGAAGTCACCACTGCCTTGCTGGGCATGTTAAGACTGAGCTTAGCCTCGCTCCGACAGCCCATCCCAGGGTGTCCGGCCTCTGCTGCACAGCCGCAGCCTCCAGTCACTGGGAAACACTCTGTTCCCAACTGTCGGCAGCGGCGCGATGCTGAGTGCCTTCTGGCGGGGCTGCCATCAGGATGCAGCCGTTGATATTTAACTTGATGATACAGTTGGCTCTGGGGCAGGGAGCCCAGAACGATGTGAAGTCAGGCAAACGAAATGCAATTTGCCATCCGGAAGCTGAACTGCATCTGCTGCCAACCTCACCCACAGACACTTGTATTTACAGCGTGGTTATGTTAAAGAAAAAATACAATAAACCCCTTCACCTGGTTGTGGGAGCCCAGTGAGACCAGGCTGCTTGGGGGTGTGTGTGCAGGATCCTTGGGGTAGGAGGCAGGTTTGGCCCCATGAGGACGCAGAGCACTGCAGCGTATGATGATGCCTTCCCTGCAGATCTGAGGCTTGACTGTTTCGTTTCCTTTCCAGTCATGGAAGCAAAAGGTCTGATGGGCAAGGAGTGCCGGACATGCGACTCCTATGTGAAGGTGAGTTCTCCTGGGGCTTTGCTTTGGGACCTTTGTCTTTCTTGGGGTTTTGGGGTTGGCTCTTCCAAGCATGCTCCGGGCTGCCTGTTCCTTCCCTTTCCTCTTCTGTCCTGCTTTGGCTGAGTACCCACAGTGTGCAGGGCAGGTCTCTTGCCCAGTGCTGGAGGGCTCACTGGTTTTCTTGGCACAGTGTCTGCATAGAGGCAGAAAAGCAGGGTCCTGCTAAAGGCTGTGTCAGCCATTCATTGCAGGAGCATCCCTCTGCGTGCCCAGGGGCTGGTGGGGATAAGTGTGTGGCCAGCACAGTGTGGTTCCGGGCTCTCCCAGAGGTTACCTTGGCAGGCTGCTCCCACCATGGTGTGCTCAGTGCAGGAAGCATCTCCCCTACAAGGGGGCTGCAAGTCAGAGACCAGCCAGCAACATTTGTAGACATCAGTCCTTGATTTTTCTGCTCTTTTTCTCCCTCCCCTGCCCTGAGGAGTTTTGTAACGGAATTACTTGACATGCATAGGATAAAGTGATCTAAACCACCCGTTAGCACAGGCTCAGCTGGATCTTTGAGGCTCAGCCATCCATAAAAGTGGCTGTGCCGGTCTCCTGCTGCCACAGCGGCAGAGCTGGCAGCTATGCCAGTGCTTGCTTTGGGAGTGCTAACACGCTGCTTGTTTTCCTCTGTAAAGATGTCGATTGTGCCAGACACTGACTGGAAAAGCAGGCAAAAGACGAAGACTGTGCCGGACAGCAAAAATCCTGTCTTCCATGAGCACTTTCTTTTGTGAGTATGGCAGGGCAGAGATCACAGCAGCACTGTGGTCACACTGAGCAGTGGGGGACCCACGTGGCTCCTGTCCTGGGGCACCCTCTCGAAGCATTTGCCTTGGCGTTATGATCAGTAATAAACACGCATCATGCATGAGCAGGTCTGCTGCTGAGATGAGAAGTGACAGACATTGTTCTGCTGTTTTTTTTTATAGCTGAAAAGCCTTGAACTTTTGGGCAGAGCTCTGTGGAGGCTCACAAAGCTGTCAGCACACGGCGTGGCAGCAGCGCTCCCACACAGTTGGACTTTCTTGCTGGGCAGGAGTTGGGCAAACACACTCAATTTCCTAAATCTTGTGCCTGCAGTAATATGGGCATCGGTATGAATGAGGAAGGTAAAAGGATTTCCTATAGCTACAGCATGTCTCTGCATGGAAAAGGAGCTGTATGCCTCGTTGTGTTTCGTAAGAGGTTGTCATTGCTAGCTAACCAGTCTGTGTCAGACCTGTCCCCATGCAGCATTTAATTTGGCACAGCATGGTTGTTTCAGAGCATGAATTGTGGCTTGTTCCTTGCATTTACCCTTTGATGTGGGATGTGTGTCTTTCTGCAAGATTATTTTTCCCCTTATACCACCTGAGCGGTGTCCCCAGTGCCTGCCCAGGAGATGTCACATCCCTTTGCAGTTGGCTGTCAGGAACGAGTGGATTAGTGCAACGGTGGCTCGTTTGGGGAGGTTGCCGTTTGGGGTGATGCTGCAGTACTATATGCAGAGGATGGAGGAGAAGACGTGGCTCTGAGGAGGGTGAGGAGTCTCCAGCTGCAAGGGCAGCCCTTGCCAAGTGCTCCTGGGGAAGATTGGTGCTCACGGGCCTTCCTCTGTCTTGTTACAGCCCAGTGCAAGAGGAGGATGAGCAGAAATGTCTCCTGGTCACAGTCTGGAACCGAGAGAGGAATTCCAGGTAAGGGGCTGCCAGCCTGCCGGACGCCGTGTTCCAAGAGGGGCTGGCGCAGCAGCGAACCTGCCATCTGCTCTGGCCACCGACACGAGCTCCTCCAGCTCCCCAGGCCTCCAGGGCTGCCCCCAGCGTCAAGGCTGCCCCACACGAAGGCTGTGGCCCAGTGAGGCTGGGACTGGAACCTGCTGGTGGGGTGCCCCAGCCAGGGCCATGCTCTCAGGCAGCCCGTGCTGGTGAGCACTGCGCCACGGGCAGGCTGGTGGAGGGGACATCCTGCCTGTGCTGCTCTCTGTTGGCATTGCTGCTGCTTGGTAGCCATCAGCCAGAGCACTGTTAAACTCCTGCAGCCACTCCTGCCTACACTGCTGGCTAAAGCCCAGTGGGGCTGGAGCCTGCCTCTGGGCTGTGACCTTCCCTACCTCTGGGGCCAGTGCAGCAAGGAGGGCAGCAAGGGGTCTGGCACCTCACAGGCTGTGCTGCATGCCCGGTCAAGTGGCATCTGCTTCCCTCAGCCAAGCTCCTGCCAGCATCAGGTAGGCTGGAGGTGACCAGGATGCTTCAGCCCAGCTCCTCCTTGCCCATGCTGCAGCTGAGCCATGTGGTTGCACCATGCTTGCCCAAAGCATGGAGAGGGAGGCACGTCCGGGGCGCTGCCTGGCTCCCGGCATGGGCAGGGATGTCTGCCGGGTCTCCGCAAAGGGGAGCGTGTGGGGAGCCGGTCCCCAGGGACTCTTCAATAAGCATATGCTGATGGTCTCCGTCTCTCCCGCAGACAGAGCGAACTGATCGGCTGCATGAGCTTTGGTGTGAAGTCCCTCCTGACTCTGGACAAGGTACCTCCGTGCCCGAGCGCAGCGCGTGGGACTGGGGTCTTACTCTCATGGGTGGGTGGATGTAATGCACGCTTGAGGCCGGAGCAGGCTTCTTCCACTGTGGGACAAAGATGCTCCGAAGGTGTCCAGAGAGTTCCCTGGTCCCATTCCCAGTATGGATGACAGCTGTGAGACTGTTGGTGTGACTGCTGGAAGCAGGGATGGGGAGGCTGTTAGAGCAGGGATCCTAGGACAGGGACTGTCACTCCTGTCTGCAGGGACACAGAGCAGCAGCAATTGGGGGTGCAGAGAGGAGGCCGCAGCGAGCGCTGCCTCTCCTGCTCGCAGCAGGGCTGTCCGAGGGACAGGAGAGGGGGCCAGCCTCGCTCAGCCTGCCGGTGTGTCACAACCCATGCGTGGGTGTGATGGTGGGGACACGATCCTCCGAGGAGCTTCACCAGCTGAGGAGGTGGTGTGGAGAGGACAGACGCAGAGGTCTCGGGCTGCTGTGGCAGCGGTGCTGCCAGGCTGGCTCTGTGCCAGAATCCATGTCCCCACTACTGCAGATCTGGTCACAATGCTGCTGCCCCAGCCTGGCTGCTGCTTGGTAATACAGCTTTCACATCTACTGGGTTTGCCTTCCTAAAGAAGCCTGCAAGGCTTCTGCTGCCAGAGACTGCTGCTGATCCATGGAAAATTGGGAATGTTTCATCCTGGCTGACAGTGGAAAAGAGGAGGCTCTGGGGAGACCTTATTGCAGCCTTTCAGTACCTGAAGGGGCTACAAAGAGGCTGGGGGGGACTTTTTACAAGAGCCTGTAGTGACAGGACAAGGGGGAACAGGTTTAAATTGAAAATGGGGAGGGTTAGATTAGATATCAGGAAGAAGTTCTTCCCGGAGAGGGTGGTGAGGCACTGGCACAGGTTGCCCAGAGAAGCTGTGGATGCCCCGCCCTGGAAGTGTCCAAGGCCAGGCGGGATGAGGCTTGGAGCAACCTGGTCTAGTGGAAGGTGTCCCTGCCCATGGCAGGGGATTGGAACTGGATGGTCTTTAAGGTCCCTTCCAACCCAAACCATTCTGTGATTCTAAGATTTCATCTCTGGACAGCCCAGGTCTGGTGCCAGCACATCAGAGTATCTCAGCAAGCTGGAAGGGGTTTGTGAAAGTGATAGTACATCACCTGAGGTGTGGAGGTTTACTCCCTAGCAAAGAGGTTAAAAAAGAGCTCTTTGTGGCAATGACCTGAAAAGAGGGGAAGAGGCAGCCTGAGAGTGGCCTTCTCTGGAATTTGGACAAGTGAGATGCAGCTTTTTTTCTAACAGTGAAGCTAATGAGGCAGAGCAGCTCACCCCAGGAAGAACCTCTGCTCTGGTCATATTTGGCCTCCCCAAAGATGTCCCCTCTTTGTCAGATTTTGGCAGTGAGTTTCACAAGGTGTCACTGCATGCAGATAGGAGGGGGGGTCCATGTGAAACGACCGCCCACATACACCATCCTACTCTCATGGGTGCTGAGGCATGTGGTCCAACTGGCACCTCAGCTGGGGCTGAGACAAGCTGACCCTGTTCCCTGGGCTCTGCATGATGCTGCTGGAATATCCCTCCCTCTCTGCAGTTTCCTCATCGTGCATTTAACCCACTCATTTTTAAATGACCCCTTCCTCTGGGAACATGGTTCTTGCATCCCCTCCCAACTCCTGGGCCTGGGCCAGGGTGGTTGGTCCCTCTGGCTTCTGCCTCTGTCTGGGGAGCAACAGAAGACAGTGGTGGCTACCTGGCAGAGGTGAGGGATTGCCAAGGTCAGCTCTGTCCTCTTGGCTGCCCTGGCCAAAGGCCACGTGGGTATGGGAGCTCTGCTGAGGAGCATCCATCACGGCTGAGGCTGGTTTGGGCACCCTCCTCTGCTGATAAGGCTGGGGCTGTGCTCCCTGCGAGACTGCCAGCTGCTGCACGCTCCATATGGACAGTTTTACTGGAGACTGACTGTTTTTCTGTACTTTGTCTTTCTCTAAAAACTTAGAAGACTGTAACTTCAGTGATGCTTGGTCCTTTCTTGCAGGGGGGGGGATGGCGTTTTAGCTGTTGCTGTATCCTAAGAGAAGGACCCCAGGCTGTGCCTCTGTGCGAGCACGGCTGGGCAGCCCCTCTGTACTGGCCTGGGGCAGCTCCTGCAGTGGGGTCCCTCTGGGGCTATGGCCTACCAGACAGAGTTAAACAGGGCGAGTGTCTGCCCCTGCATCCACAGCTTCTTTCCTCCCATCCAGGAGGTCAGCGGCTGGTACTACCTCCTTGGGGAGGACCTGGGCAGAACCAAGCACCTGAAGGTGGCCATGCAGCGGCTGAAGCAGAGCAGAGGTGCGTCTCCCCACCGGGATGTCCCGGGCAGTGTTGGCAAGATTTGGAAGAGGAGTCAGCCTCAGTCTGTCCCTGCACTGGCACGGACTGACCCCGTGGCACCTATGTTCCCATGAGCACTTCTCAGATGCTCAGTGGGTGCCAAGATCCTGAAAGACTGGTGTGGGGGAGATCCTGCCTGGTTCAG